TTTGGTTTTCTGAGACAGGGTCTCACTATGTAGTTGAGACTGCCCTGGAACTCACTATGTAGCCGAGGCTGGTTTTGAACTCACAGTGATCCTCCTGCCTCAGCCTCCCGAGTGCTGGGATTACAGGTGTGTACTACCACACCCAGCTAACTGAATGCATTTGAAGAGTTCAAATCACTTACTGTACACAATCAAAGCAGTCATTCTAAATGAGTAGATTTAATTTACCACTTTAGAAAAAAATTCCAAAAAATTATTAAACCCTATTTTAAGGGTAGTAATAAATGTATCATTGATCCACAGTAGCACTTAAAATGTATGTCAATCTATTACTTTAACAAAAAGTAAGTCTTTGTTATTTAAAAAGCACCTGGAGATTATCAATGATAAGTGCTACAGCAAGGAAAATTCTTGAGTACCTGAACAATGACAACCACTATCATCTGAAACATTTCCATCACTGCTGAAGTTTAAAAAAGGAAAGGCAAGGAGGAAAAGGAGCACAGAAGACATGCAAAGAGCCTCACTTGAACAAATAACAAATTTCCAGAATGAGGGGCCAAAACATTGTAAGAACTTTTTAATTTTTCTTTTGACCTAGCTCATTTACCAAATATAACATTTACATTTTACAGAGCTGAAAAATCTGATAAATTAGTCTAAGATTATATACATAATAATTTTAAATATAATAAATATATATAATAATTTTATATAATAAAGCCTGCTCCATGTTTATATGTGTATATAATGAACAAGTAAATAAGAAATTTTGTTTTTAATTAAGTTAGAAAATTAATCTCAATCTTACATGCACTTTTTTTTCTTTTTATTGAGTTTATTGTTACAATCTAGGTATATAATACAGTTACATTCATTACTGGGATCCTGTACCTTCACATGACAGGTCTTGGTTCTCATTTTTTTCCCCCATCCCTGCCTTCCCTTCACCCCCTCCTCCCCTCCCATTTACAAACATTTTATTTCCATTTTTTCATTTTCTCATATTTTTTCTTTTCCCTTATTGCCTTTCCCCTTCCCTTCCCACTTTCCCTACACCTTTAGCCCTTTTCCTCCTATTTCACATTATTAATTATCCCATTAGGATCTTGTATACTTCTATAGTTTTTCACACCAGATAAACTATTCAGTATTTATACGTGTGACTTATTTATTTCACTTAAGAGTGTATCCTCAATATGTATCCATTTTCCTATGAATGATTCTAATTTCTCATTCTTTATGGCTTAGTATTCCATTTTATAGAAAACTTACATGCACTTTTAAATTCTTAATACTTCCTCCCATATTTAAATCCAATGTTTAAATGAAAACCCAAAAAGTTATACCTGAAACCCCTCAAACATTAAATTTTGTTAATTTTTATAACTCTTTCAGTTTTAAATTACAGGATCCTGAAATTAAGTCATCAAAAAATATGTTGTACTAAGCTTTTGCCTTTGAAAATTGATTCAAAATACTATTTTAGAACTGAGATATTCCTGGCATAGATGATTTTTTAAAATTCAAATGAACAAAGGGACTCAATAACCCTATCACACAGTTCTGCAGAGGGACAAATCACAGAGGGTTATGATGCAGACACGGCCACTTCATTCTACCGGCTCAAAAGGAACCATTACTTTCTCCTATAAAACTGAATGGAAGAGAAGGAAAGAATTTCTGAGGACCCTTAATTAAAGTGTACCCACTTCTGATGGCAAGTTAGGAAGAAAATAAAAGGAACCCCATAGTAGTTTAACAATCAAAGTGTACTTATTAAACACATATCCACAATTATATCACCATTATGCTAATTCCACGTGGCCTCTTACAAACTAAATTATTTTTGTCTCTGAATTTACCATTGCAACATCATATTCTCAACAAATTGTTTAGGGCTTAACTTTGTTTCTTTTTCTTTTTTCTTTTTGCTTGCTTAAGTGATTAATGAGACTATCCTCTGGCCAGTGCTCCACAGATTAAATAATTCCCAGCTTCCAAGACAAAAAATTTGCAACACTGCCCAAAACTGTTCCTGTTAAGTGGTTAAGCCCAATAATGAAAATTGTAGTCTACATTAAAGAGAACTTTGATTTATATAATTCCAAGGACATTGTAAAAAATAAGTCTGAAGAGAAAAGTCATAAAATACATAAACCCAAAGCAATAACACATATAATAAACCATTACCAGTATCTCTCATTTCAGTGCATTGTAGGTACTAGTCATCCACAAAGCAAAAAATATATCTTATATATATTTTACATAGTTTTATATATGAGAGTGTGTGTGTGT